AGCTCGATGCTTCCCAAACTTCAGGGCCTCCTGTCCCCTCGAACTCTTCCCTGAGGGCTGGCTCTTCATCCCCGAGTGGGTTTCTTGACGGTTTCACTGGGACCGACAGAAGGGCTGCTCGAGGACGAGCATGCATCAAAAGGCCTGCCTCTATAGATTCCTCTCCTCACACGAAAAATTGCCCGGTCGCGAGATTGTTCCAGACATCCGACGCCGCGATGTTGTGCACAACGCGGACCCCCAGAGGTCTGGAACCACTCCCTGGGACTGTTTGTTCATCCCGAGTAGTCTTCCGACGGCCCCACGAGCCCAGTGAGGCCGCCCTGCCCCAGAAGAGAAACAAGAACCCGTCCGTTGTGATCTGTTCACGACTCGAGGAATCTGGGTTTGCAACGCCCAGATCCGAAGGACCCTCGAGCCCCTGGAGGTCTGGATCCTGCACGCCGCCAGTTGCTCGTCGGTCCAGGCGGCGGCACATCTGGCTGCCAGACGGGCGCCCAGCCTGCAGGAACAAGTGGTACTCGTAGGAGGGCGCCCACATTGCACACCCGCACCGGCCCTGACTGGGCCGACGACCGGGACCAGGACATGGCGTGTTCCAGGAACACCTGAAGCTAACAAACAAATGCCATGCATGCATCTCTTCGGGGGGCGATGTGCTCCCTTCCGCCCGCATCCGCCAGCAGAGCCGCACTCGTTTTGCTTCATCCGGCTTTCGCTGGACTTCGCCCGCCTTGCGCCGAGGCAGAGATATCAACTCCTGAGGTCCGCGCGGATTCCTCGGATCGGCGCTGGGGCGCCCAGTGAGAGGGATCCGGGAAATCCGCGCGAACCTCTGTGTCTTTATTGATTGCTCCTCCTCCGAGTTGTCTTCGGTTATTCCCAGGCATTCTCCCAATCGGCGCCAGAGCGAAACATGACGCTACTAGCGCCCCCCCGCCCCCCCCCTTAGCATAGGGGAAGCGGGCCCTGAAGGAAACGGATCCTGGACCCGGGAGCCTTCCCCCAGGACGAACTTTCCACCCTGCCTGAATCGTTTGCTGACAGTCCCGGGGCCCGTGGAAGGCCCCGAGAACCCGAAAACGGTGAAAGACCTGAAGACCCGTTTCCCGTTGCCCTCAGGACACGACTCTTCCCCCATGGCGATCCCCCCCCCCCCGGGAACGCCTGGCATCGCCCGCAGTCGAAGACAGCTCGGAGGCCCTCCAGGGATGCGCGGGCCCACCCGTGGCCGCGCCCGCGGCACCCGGGATCTGCCAGCTGGCGGAGCGCAGAGGGGGGCACGAGGGAGAGGTTGGGCAGGGCTTCTTGAGAGGGGGCGGCTCCTCAGGAGGCGCCGGCCCTACAGCTATACACGAGGCCCGCGCCTTCTGAGAAGCCGCCTCCTCTCAAGAAGCCCTGCCCCCCTCCCCCTACCCCCCCCCCCTCCGCGTCGCCGACACTGGCCGCGCCCGCGGCTCCCGCGGCTCCCGCGGCTCCCTGGACCTCTCCGCCAACCTTCGGCGGACGGAGGCCTCGGGGAGCCGCGGCATGCACCGACAGGCAGTCCTCATCCGTCTCCTCCGTCTCCTCCGTCTCCTCCGTCTCCTCCGTCTCCTCCTCCTCCTCCTCCCTCTCCTCCTCCTCCTCCTCCTCCTCCTCGTCTCGCCTCTTTCCTCTCTCCTCTCGCCTCCCCCTTCGTCTCTCGCCTCCCCCATCCTCCCCTTCCCTCTCCTCCCCCTCCCTCTCCTCATCTCCCGTGTCCTCCCCCTCCTCCCTCGCCTATCCCCCCCTCCCCCTCCGGAAGTCGCCCGGGTTTCGGGCTATTTGTTTGCAGACGTTTCCGTCGGTTCCCAGGATCAGGTCCGTCGGACGAGAAGGGGTGATAGGCCAAGGGGGGGGGGGCATAAAATCTACGGTGTGACGCCGGGTCCAGCCCCGGCACCCCTCGCCCTTCCGCGATATGCACAATGGGCGCCTCCTGGCGTGGGGAGGCGCCAGGAGAACCAGCTGGAGTCAAAACTGATGGTTAGCGTGCGCGGTAAGAATTTGTGTTGACATCCACGGTCAAGGGCCCAATCAGAGCGGGCAAGAAATTGTCAGCTCGACTGTGACCCCTTTTCTACACCGTTGCGGTCCTTTGCCGAGCTGCCGCCAACTAGCGCTCCTGCGCAGTTCGGCGAGAGGCTCGCACAACTTGCCCAGATGTCCATAACGAAGCTTCTTGGGCGGGGTTCGCCATCGAAAGTGGTGAAGGATGGACCTACGAGGCAAGGCTGCAAGGGTGCCCTTGGGAAGGTGACCCATCCTTGCAGTGGATGCCCGACCACAAGAAACCTTCCACCAGAAACCCAAGCCTGAGACCCCAGGACGTCGATGGAATTTGGGTGTGGGAAGGTCGCGTTTTTCAAAGAGGACCCATCGAAACCCAAGAAACCCAGCGCACCCTGGAGGCAAGCAGGGTGTTTCTTGGCGTGGGTCTCCACTGTATCATCGATTTCGACGGCGTGGCCATACCCGCCGCAGCGGGGTCGTGCTCCGGGAGCCCGGGGAGCCGCGCCGTGCACAATGGGGGAACCGACGGTCACGGCAGCATCACGGGTCAGGTGAGCCTGCACGGGGAGCCTCTGAGGACCTCCGCTACGCGGCCACACGCGAACCCTGCCTCCACCCCCCTTATAGCAATCGTGGAGGGTGGGAGGTAGGGTTCACATGCGGCCACCGATCCGCAGCCCTGACACGCGATTTCGAGCAGATCTCGCCCAGGTTTCGAATCACCCTCTTGACCCTTTTCGTCTAGAGTTCGCCCAGATTCCGTCCAGATGTCGACCAGAGTCGAGGAAATCTAGACGAAATCGATACTTTTTAAGACCCTCTGAGGCCCTCATGAAGGACCACACTACAGGGGCTGCGACAGGCAGGCCCGAGCTGGATCGAATGTGAAGCCGGGTCGGGGAGACGCAAGACTCGGGTTCGGAGGACTCGGGTTGGCCTGACGGGGCCGTGAGGAAATGACGAGACCCCACCTGAAATTTCACGCGAATTCCAGCAGCAGACATCCCACGAACACGGGACCGCCAGAGCTCAGAACGAGCCTGTCAAGCAGCGTCGGCAAACCCGAAATCCTGCGAACCCGAGCCTTCCGTTTCCCCGATCGCGATGGATCAGATCGGGCACGGAGCGGATCGCCAGCGGATCGTCCCGAACCGACTGCGGCGTGCAGCCCGGCCAGGGCGCGCGCGCTTTGGCGCCGGCGTGCGCGCTTTGGCGCCAGCCGCACGCCCGAGGGGTCTGCTGGCGGCGCGCGCTGCGGCGGCCAGGCTGCCGGCCTCTCCGGGCTCCCCGGATCTGTTGTCCCACCAGCTTCGGCGTCGGGGGCGTCGTCGGGCCCCCAGGGCGATCCAGAACAAGAGAGCGGTCCCGCCGTCCTGCCGTCGTCGTCGTCGTCGTCGTCGTCGTCGTCGTCGTCGTCGTCGTCGTCGTCGTCGTCGTCGTCGTCGTCGTCGTCGTCGTCGTCATCGTCGTGTCGTCCTCCCCCCCTCCGACTCACGCGCGAAACCCGTGCACGAGTCGGACAACGAAAAGACTGCAGAATCAAAAAAACTGTCCGATCCACGTGCGGATTTCTTGCATCGGCGCTGGTCCCCCTCCCCGGCGCGCAGAACCGGCCAGAAATTGGACGCGCGGCAATGGGAGGCCCAATGTGCCGTGCCAAGAACTCCGCGTGAACCTCCGACAGTTCATGTGTCTTGCCGCGACTGCGACACCAGAGCTCGAGGCCCGACCCCCGCCACCACCTCCCCAGCCTCTCCAGAACCCTGGGGGGACAGGAAGACCACGAGGCCGAGATGCTCCCTGGACCTCTCCCAGGGCGCGTTCGGACCAGGACTTCAAGAGGGCATCTAAGAGGCCTCCTGGATGGTCCGAGCAGCTGGGGTTGGAGGCTCGCGCGGCACCGCGCCAATGCAATCGGCGACGTCGGCGATGCATCGGGTTCGTCGGCGTGGAGAAAGTCGGGCGCCTCATCGAGCCGCATCGGCGGTGCATCGCCGATGCGTTGGCGACGCGGCGCTTCCTCCGACCACATCTGCTCGGATCTGATCTGGGAGGCCCAGATCCCCCTCCTCCCAGGGATCCCCCCCCGCTCCGCGCCCCGCGCCGCGCGAAGCGCGAAACCGCGGCCACCTCTGGCGCCCACGCGCCGCCATCCCCAGGACCAGTGCGGCCATCCGGCCACCAGCTCCCAGGGTCGTTGGATACCAAGCCATCCATCCCTCCAGGCCCCCGCAGGACCGACCAGTGCGGGCCAATGCGGCCCCAGGATCATTGGATAACGGATTTCTGTCGGCTGCGAAGGGTAGCGATCGATCGGCTCGCGACCAAAGCCTTCTGGCATCCAATGAGCAGGGCAGGGAGTGCGCCACCTCCCCGGCATCTCCAGACCCCCCCCCCCACGCCGAGCCCCGCGCCGCGCAAACGCGGGCCCCCCCGCTATGTTCGGCCTCTGGGTGCCTCACCGAGCCCGGGAGCGTCAGCACACGGCTCAGGGCCAAACTCCTTTCGGGTTCGAGGCTGCGGCAACCATCAACATGATGACCAGGGTCTGAAACAGGGGCCCCGCCCGGGACACGGGGACCCCTAGGGGCGCGGAGGCCCTGCAGAGTGCCCAAGCTCAGCCTGGAGGCCCCGTCGTATTCTCCGTGGCCCCCTCCCTCGGGGCCCGCACCTTCGGACCCTCGACCTGCGGGTGACCTGGCCGCCGCCTGCCCCCCAATCTCCCCCCGCCCCCCTCTGAGAGTTAGATGTTCGTGGTGGGGACCTTCCTGGAGCCACTCGCTCCACTCGTGCGTCGATGCTGCGTTGAGCGTCCGTCAACTTTAGACGAGCTTGAGTCGAAGCTGAGCCGAATTAGCGTCTCAACATAGAGCCGAACCAATCCGTCAGGTGGGCCCCAGGAAGGTGCCCCCAAACGAGCATCTGACGAGAGGGCTGCCCGCGCCGCCCACGGCCGCCGGCCCGGCTCAGTACGTGGCGACGAACATCCGCGCCCCCTCGCCCGCGGCCAGCGCAACGAGCTCGGTGCCCGCGCGGCAGAACTGGGTGTGGCCCATCGACATCGTCTGCGGGCCCGCCGCGTCGCTGAACAGGGCGTCGCCGGAGTGGCGGAAGTCGACCTCGTTTAGGGCTTGACGACTTCTGCCGTCCCTCGACTTGCGCTGGAGCTTCCACGATCTGTTCCAACTTTAGATGGACATCTCTGGATGCACCTCGATGTGTTCGGATATGCCTGGATCGATTTTTGGAAATCACCCGCATGCACCTCGACTCCGAAAACTGATCCCCGCAAGTCGATTGGAGAAGAATCGTCGAGCCCTAGGTCGGGGAGACGTGAGATTCGGGTTCGGGGGGACTCGGGTTGGTCTGACGGGGCCATCATGAAGACGACGAGACCCACCGGGAAAGTTGACGCGAACTCCCGCTGCAAACATCCCACGGAAACAGAGCCGTCAAAATCCAGGACGCGCTCCTGAAGAAGCGGCGGCAGACCCGACTTCCCGCGCACTCGAGTCTTACGTTTTTCCCCGATTCGGAAGCGAAGCGAAGCGAAGCGAACGCCGGAGTCGTGCGTGCTCCACCGGGGGAGCCCGCCCGTGCCCATCAGGGCATGGCGTGGAGGCCGTGGCCTCGACAGGGAAGGTCGCCGAAGTATTCAGGCTTGTGAAACGCATGCCCGCTCACAGGATGTCCACCACTCTGTGCACCAAGCGGCCCGGATCCATCGTAGGTCGTTCGTGTTGTGGTGCTCGTATTGTCGTGGCCGGGTTGCTGCCCGCTTCGGAACGACCTCGAAGGAGCCGCGGATGCACGTCACGATGGACGCGTGGGGGAGCGCCAGGCCTTCGGGCACGGGGCCGTCGATCTCGTACACCTTTTCGAGAGAGGGAGGAGCAGGCTGCACCAACACGTGGACCGTCGGAGGCCCGCGCGCACTCCTTGGGTCTGCGCTGGACCTCGGGCGTCGCTTACTCCAGGGGGGGGGGGGGGCGATGCACGAGGGGGGGGCGAAACTTCTATTTTTCGGGACCTGAAGGCTCACTTCTGGAGCCCTGGAGGGCTCCCCTTGGGGCCCCCAGAGGGCCCCTATTGGGGGGGAGAACGGTGCACTTTTCGGGCCCTGAATGCCCCGTTTCTGGGGCCCTAGAACGGCCTCCCTAGAGGGCCCCTTTTCTGCAGCCCTCGCCACCACCCCGTTTGTCGCCCCCCCAGTACGCGACGCCCGAGGACCCCCCTCCCTGGCGAGCTCCAGGCGCCAGGGGCAGCGCCCGAAACGCAGCCAAGGAGGTCCAGCGCAGATCTAAGATAAATCTGCGCGGGCCTTCGGAAGGTTAGGTGCGCATTGCATGTGGACAACGAAACGAAGCGGGCGTTATGCGAGATGGCATGGCGACCTTACGCGGTGGCTTACGCAAGCCACCCGTACGGCACGCTACATTGGAGAGAAGGGCGCTTACGCACGTTTCACGCGGGCAGCTGATGCTTGGGAGTCCCAAAACGGTGCGGTGCCTGACCGTGCGGTGACCTCGAAATCCTCCCAGACCTCACCGCACGGTCCGTCACCGCACGGTTTTGGGACCCTGGAGGCCCCGGTCGCCCGAGACATCCTTGGAGAAGGACTCGAGTCCCAAAACCGTGCGGTGACCCCGAATCCCCACCGACTCACCGCACGGTGTGGTCACCACACCGTTTGGGGGCCCCCAAGATGCGCTAATGTCGGTGAAGACGACCCCCTTTTTTGCGTCGCTCAATTTGCTCTTCGAACACCATGAAGTCGGGCACAGGGGGGTCGTACTTCACCACGCCCGGCGAGACTCTGTCGCCCTGGCCAACGAGCACGTCGAGCAGGTCGTCGCGGTACGTCATCATGCCCAGCAGAGTGTCGACGTCCTTGAACTTGGGGGTCAGGCCGGCGCGCACGACATTGTCCGAGATGGCCATGCACTCGACGCACTCGCCTGAGAGGTATGCGTGCGGCTCGTCGGGGGCGCAGTAAATGAACTGGCGCGGTGCGTTCAGCCATCCTTCGCCCTCGCCGTTCAGGCGGACGTAGTTCAGGAAGTAGATCGAGAAGAGGCCGACGTCGCCTGGGTAGTCCTTCACGACCCTCAGCACGAGCTCCTCCTCAGGCGTCCTGTCCCCCTCGCTTTTCTCCGCCAGGCGCGCCGTGAGAGCCATGACCTGCTCTGCCACCTTGGAGGCGGTTGGGGGGTCTGAGCTGGATGAGGCCAGAACGAATCTGCCAAGAGGGAATAATCATGGCAAATTCGCTCCAAAGTCGACGCCCAGACCCCTCCCAGGGACGAAGCTGACCAGCGTCCGAGTCGAGTCAGCCATGGTGACGAGGGAGCCCCTCCTCCTCCCTCCGGTCTGCTGGCCACAACCAGCAGCGCTGGGCCACCGCAGCCCCATAGCCCTTAAGGCCACCCTCCGCGGCTCCGACTGCCACCTTCGACTGCTCCGACCGCATCAGCTTGGAGTACAGCTGGCGGAGGTCCTGCTGCTCGGGGTCGCCACACAGCGCCAGGAGCTCCGGCACCGCGCGCACGTGGCGGCGAACGTCGGCCAGCGGCCGGAAGCCGCAGAGCGCCTCGAAGCTGCCGAGGGGGATCGCGATCTCCGGCTTGTGGTTGGGGTCCGCGTAGTGCTGGGGCATGCTCTCGTGCAGCTGCTCCTGAGCATCGCTTGGCCGACCTCTGTGTCCACTGGCGCGGCCTGTGCCACACTGGCCCACTTGCCCACCCTAGGTGGAAACACTGTTCCATTTGGGCTTCGCGGCGACTGCTTCCACCTACAGGGCAGGTTTTAATACATAGGATTTTTAAACATATAGGATTTATCATATGGGTCAATGTATGAACAAATTTACGCATGAACTCATCGTTGTTTTCATTACTAAATCCCTTTACTTTTAATACATGGTCCGCACGCGGAGCATGTATAAAAAACGGCACTGTAACATGGTGGGCTGGTATGGAAGGGAAGAACATGGGGACCATGACCAAGGCTGAACCCAGAAACGTGGTGTCAATCTTGGCCACCGTCAATTCTGGTCAGCGTCAGTTCGCTGAGAATCCGACAAAACCCCGCGACATCTCGATCATGGTCGGTGTGTTTCTTCCCTGGATGGTGTGGCTGAGATACCATGGGACGTGCAAGGACATGCTAGTACTATGTGTCCTCCTTGGAAGCGTGCGTCCGACCCGAGTGGGTGGCCTGAAGGCGCCCAACACGGAGCTTGTTTCTAGAGGACTTCTCGGCGTGCCCGTCGCCCCCGGGGGGGGGGGCGCACACATAGTATGAGTATGTCGGGGTGACGCCGATACCATGGCCCAGTGAACATGGGGACAGCTTAGCCAATGCTGAGCTCCGCCAGCTTCTTGTTCGGGTGCGCCTGGATGGACAGCGCCTGCCGCACCGAGAGGACCTTGAACAGGTAGGGCAGGTCGCCGCGATCCGCGTCCTCCTCCCCAAGCCAGTACGCGGGATCGGACTGAATCGTGTCCAGCAGGTACTGCTCCCGGTGGTCGTCCTCGTCCTCTGCAGGCCCCCAAGAGGCACAAAAGAGGCCCCAATGCGACCCCCAAGAGGCCTCAAAACTGCATCCTATAGGCCCCTGAAAGGCCTCCCGCGAGATCCCAACGAATATCCAATAGGCTTCATGCCCACAACCCAGGCACGGTGGCGGGATGGGCCCGAAGCCATTAGGTCCGCCGACCCCTGTGGTCTTGCCGCAAGGGTGCCCGCCGTGCTAGGTCCTACTGGTTTGGTCTTGATTCTTTTTCCCAAATAACTCCCTCTGGGTTTCGGCCCGTCCCGCCTGCCACCCGGAAGAGACCGAAAACAACTTTCACGTCCGGAAACAAATACCCGAAGACGGCCCAAGATGGCCTCCAAGAGAGCCAAGATGGCCCAAGATGGCCTCCAAGATCGCCCAAGATGGTCCAAGATGGCCTCCAAGACGGCCAAGAGGATCCAAGATGCCTCCAAGTCTGCCCAAGAAGCCTCCAGGACGGCCCAAGATGGTCTCAGGATGGCCCAAGACGGCCAAAAGGCACCCCAAGGAGCTTCCAAGACGGCCCAACAGGTCGCCAAGAGGTCCTCCAGGAAGACCCGAAGAGGCCCAAATCATTGATTTCCCATAACGAGGTGTTTGGATGTCCGATGGACGGCCCGAGACGGCCTCAGAGCCCCTAAAGATCGCCCCAAAATCGTCCAAGAGGGAACAACAGGCCCCCAAGACGGCCCCAAGAGGGTCCCAAGACTTTCCCAGAGGCTTCCAAGACGCCCAAGATGAGGGCCTCCAAGACGGTCCAGGAGCACCCCAAGAGGGCCCCACCCCAAGTCGGCCCAGAGATGCCACCAAGACGGCTTCCGAGGGCGTCAGACGGGCCAGGAATGCCCTAAGACGGCCCAAGATGGCTCCAAGCTGGCCCAAGGAGACCCCAAAGAGATCTCCAAGATATCCCAAAAGGCCTCAAAGAGGGCCTCCAGGAAGGCCCGAAGAGGCCAAAATCATGAATTGTCCTTAGGTGTTTGAAAGATTTTGGCATCTGCTTCTGTTCGGCATTCCGACAGCCCGAGACGGCCCAAGAGCCCCCAAAGATCGTCCCAAGATCGCCCAAGTGGCCTCCAAGATGGCCCACGAACGGCCCGAGAGGCCCCTAAAGCGGCCCCAAGAGGGCCCTAAGACGGCCCAAGAGGCTTCAAATACGCCTTAGATGGCCTCCAAGACGGCCCAGGAGCACCCCAAGAGGGCCCCAAGTCGGCCCAGAGAGGCCCTCAAGACGGCTTCCGACGGCGTCAGACGGGCCAGGAGGCCACCAAGACAATCTAGACGGCCCAAGATGGCTCGCAGATGCCCCAAGAGATCTCCAAGACGGCCCAAGAGGCCCCCAAGAGGGTCTCCAGGAAGGCCGGAAGAGGCAAAACTAATTGATGTCTATTTGGTTTTTGAAGGATTCGGGCATTTGCATCTTTTCGGCCTTCCGACGGCACGAGAGAGCCCAAGAGCCCTCAAAGATCGCCCCAAGATCGCCCAAGAGGCTTCCAAGATGGCCACAGAACAGCACAAGAGGCCCCCTGGACGGCCCCAAGATTTCCCAAGAGGCGAATGCCCTAAGACGACCAAAAAAGCACCCGAGAAGCCTCCGAAGGCACCCAAGAGGCCCAAGGCGGCTCTCAAGATGCCTCCAAGAGGCTCCCAGGAAGCTCCCAGGAGGCCCCAAGAGTGCCCACAGGCTCCCAAGATGCCTCCTCCTCCCGATCTTCCCCGCCATCCCCCCCCAAGTGTTCCACGAAGGGTTTCTACAACGGCTTGGGGAACACATGGCCCGATAGCTTGGCAGAGCTCTTGCCACAACGCTCGGCTACATGAGCATGTCCCAAAGGCAGGGGGCGGCGGTGATTCGCCGTATGCGTCTTCGATACTACTTTCGGTGGTCGTCCTCGTCCTCGGCACCAAGGGATTGCCCTAGCATCCTCTCGCTGAGTCGCTGTGAAGCAAGTCATGGCGGAAACTGTTTGCCCATCTTCGGCCTCGGGGGCCCTCGCCGGGCCCCGGGGCCGTCAAAAGTCGACTCGGGACGAAAAGCCGCTCCCAGGGAAGGGGACCAGCCCTCTGGGGATCCAAGTCGTGGAGAAAGACCCGACGACGGACGTCTGGGCTCCTGCACCCGGCCAGCCGTGCCCCGGACCTTCAAAACCCCTCGAGAAACTCGATGCGGAAGTGCTCCGCCGATCTGGGCCCCGGGGGCCTTCGCCAGGCCCCAGGACCGTCCAGGAGCAACTACCCTCGGGGATCTTGCAGAAGCCTGCAAGATCCTGCAGAGTCCTGCACCCAAGCCCAGGTCAATGCGACCCTGGCCCTGCTCAAGGCTTCCGAACTCGGGATGCAGAGCCGGCCCCGGGGGACCGGTCCAGAGCAGCGGGGGCCCCGCACCGAGGGGAGCGCCGAGCATCGGATGGCTGGGCCTGGCAAGGGCCAGGCTGGGCCCCGGCACGGTGTGTGCGCTCTCCTCGTCGTCGAGGCCTGGAGCAGGGCTCGAGCTAAACAGTGCCTTCCGTGTTTGTGTTGTGCTCGTGTTCCTTCGTTCTGCCTTAGTGCTGCGGAACGAAGCCACAACGAAAGCGGCCCACGAGGTCGCCAACACACGGTTTCGCCCCAACCCTGGTGTAAGTACGGGACCCCCCCCTGCGGGTCCTCGCCGGCCGCGGGGACCTCCACCGACGACGGACCGTTCGGGTGAGTGCCCATCCACAGCTCGGCGAAGCGGTTGCCGCGGCTGAGCGGGTGCTGCCGCATGGCGCCGCGGCGCGAGCGCACGTGCTGCTCCGAGGCCATCAGGGCGACCAGGGACGACTCCTGGGGGCACCGATGCCGCTACTCCCGAACCTCGAACGGGGCGCGTTCTGACCCGAATTTCATGGACGCGGGCCCCCCAGAGGGCCAGAAAACGTGAAAACGAGGCGAAGGTACCCGATCATCCTCTGATGTGTTTCAAACCGTGGCCTTAGAGGTCCCGAACCCTTCCCTGGGAGAAATTTCGCGTCCGGGACCCATTCTTGATACCCCCCGGGCCCGAAATCGAGCCCCGGAGGCCGACTTGAAAGGAACGAGCTGTGATTGAACATCGCATATCATCGGACGAGCAGCGGTATCGGTGTCTGTTCCTCCCCTGAGCTCAGGGGGCTTCCCCCATGCGTAGTGCTGCACGACCCCATGCAGCGGCACCGCCACGGGGCACAGGGGGGCCACCTTCGGCGGTGGACAAACCTCCCTTTAGTAAACCTCCCCTTATAATGAAAACGGCCTGGGACCGAAACCGACGGACCTGGACCCGCAAAAATGACGGCCGCGACGCCGTCTCGCGAACCGAAAACGGCCAATTCCTCAATCGACGTGTCAGGGTAGGAGGTCTGTCCACCCCCGACACCTGAGGCGGCAGGAGCCCAGACGTTCGACGTCGCGCTTTCTTTCCGCAGCGAGGATACCCCGCGGGCTGAGCCCTCCCCCGTGAACGGATGCTCGTTCTGGAGAGTTTTTGTGGACGGCCCGGGGCTCGGCGAGGGCCCTGTGATGCCGAAAATGGGCCAAAGCCATCCTGCGCGGCCTGTTTCACAAGATGCCTCCCAGATGGGGTCCGAGCAGATGGAGTCGGAAGATCACGCCGCACCGTCGATGCATCACCGATGCAACGGCGATGCGTCGGCGACGTCGGCGATGCATCGGCGACGTCGGCTTGGAGAACATCGGGCTCCACACCGTGCCAAATCGCAGATGTATTAGTAAAGCGGCGCGATCCTCCGACCACGTCTACAGTCAAGATGTATAGTAAGGACGCGCGGTAAGGACGCAAGACCCTTGGAGGCCGAAGTTGGGATTCTTTGGGCGGCGGGCGAGCAGTGAAAACGGTATAGGACGGGCCGCAGAGGCAAGGGCGCAAGGGCACCCTGGATGAAGGCGCGCGTCCTTACTAGGCGCGTTGACTGTACTCTGATCCCATCTGAGGGGCCCAGATTCGCAGCGAGAGGACGTCAGGGGAGGAAGCGAGATGGGGTGCCTCCCGTGCGAGGCCGCGGCGGCCTCGCCCAGTGGGCCGCGCACAACAGCGACCGCTGCCGGCCAGCGCGGTGCACCGCTCTGGGGGCAACGGGGGGGGCGCGAAACCGAGCGACCTGATGCGCGGGTGGCTCACGCGGGAATGTCGGCGCAGCCCGCCCCTCCTCCTCCTCCTCCTCCTCCTCCTCCTCCTCCTCCTCCTCCTCATCATCATCATCATCATCATCATCATCAGCATCAGCATCAGCATCAGCATCATCATCATCATCATCATCATCATCATCAGCAGCATCATCATCATCACCATAAGCATCATCATTCATCATCATCATCATCCATCATCATCATCATCATCATCATCATCATCATCATCATCATCATCATCATCATCATCATCATCATCATCATCATCATCATCATCATCATCATCATCATCATCATCATCATCATCATCATCTCATCATCATCATCATCATCATCATCATCATCATCATCATCATCATCATCATCATCATCATCATCATCATCATCATCATCATCATCATCATCATCATCATCATCATCATCATCATCATCATCATGATCATCATCATCATCATCATCATCATCATCATCATCATCAGCATCAGCATCAGCATCATGATCATCATCATTCCTTCTCCACCTCCTCCTCCTCGTCGTCCTCCTCCTCGTCCTCCTACTCCCCGATCTCATCTTTCTCCTCGATACCCTCCTCCCTCCTCCCCCTCGATCTCATTATCCTCGACATCCTCCGCCTCCTCCTCCTCCTCCTCCTCCTCCTCCTCCTCCTCCTCCTCCTCCGTCTCGATCTCTTCCTCGATCGCCTCCTATTCTCCCCCTCGATCTCCTCGATACTCTCATCCTCGACATCCTCTCCCTCCTCCTCCTCCTCCTCCTCCTTCTCCTCCTCCTCCTCCTCTTCCTCGATCGCGCCCTGAAGTTTTGATCAAAACAGGGTGGGCCGTGGCATTGATAGGCGACAAAGGCGGCCGCACCGCCCACGTTTAAGGTCAGACTGGCGCGTTGCTGCCAACCACTGCGCCTGCTGCTGAGAACGTTGCGCTAGCAGCTAGAATTAGCACACCATCTTGGAGCCATCACGTCATACTCCAGGGCCGGATGCGGCACGAAGAACATTCACTCGGGGCTAAAGTTTTGTGCTAGAAGGAAAATACAACGGTACTCTTCCCACCATCTGCGAAGTAAACGCTCACCAGAATCTTGACAGACGCCCCCCCCATCCAAAGGACACATTTCTGGGGGAGAGATGCTACTGACCAATTGGTCCAGCAGGCCGCTCAAAAGCGCGGTGGTCCCTCGGAAACCGGATCTCGGGCCTACAAGGCCGATCCCTCTTTCACCGTCCGTTTCCTGTTGTCCTTCGCCAAGAAGTGATCCAACTGGCCTACGACTGCTCCCCAAGCCAGGGGCGACGCGTGCGACTAACCCGTCTGTCAGCCGTGAGTCAAACCCTTGATGGGCGTTACCTTACTCGCTCCTCTTGCCGTCGCTCGGGCGTCCATTTCCCGTGCATTTTTCGGTTCCGTGCGGTTTTTTGTTGCTAGATGGTCCAGGATGGTCCTCGATGGTTCTCGCCGGAAAAACAATCCACACGTCTGAGCGATGCCAAGTCCTGCTCCTCCTCCTCCGCCCCTTTCCGTCTCCGCCCGTGCAGGACACCGGGGCCGAGGCTGCCGAGCCTCCTCGGGATGTGCAACAGACCAGGTGGAGGCACGGTGGAGGGGCCCTGGGACACACAAATAAATACACACAAACAAAAGGAGGTTTCAAATTTCATAATTTATGGCCTGACGTTTTCAAAGCCCTGCCACGCGCCCCCCCCGGCAGTAATACAGTCGCGGCCCTGCCCTGTTTATTGAAGAGACGACATCCCAAGCAAGGGAATACCATCCGAAGCTAATACGGCAGCCCCGTCCCTCTCCCCATGCTCATTCGGGCAGCGCAGAAGGCGCTGGAGGACGAAAATGGCAGCAGCCAGCGAGTAGCACGCGCGCCATGGTTCTTGCACACAAGGAAGGGGGAGGAGGCGGAGGGGGCGCGCTGGCTGGTGAATGGGGTGATGGAGGGGGCGTTCGGGATGGGGTTGTCGGGGCGGAGGGGGCGCGCTGGCCGGTGGATGGGGGGATGCGGAGGGGGCGCTCGGGGTGGGGGGGGCGGCGCCGTGCCGAGATGAATGGGTCAGGGCGGAGGGGGCGGTGCCGCGCCAAAACAAAAGGGGTCGGGGCGGAGGGGGCGCGCTAGCTGAAGGGCGGGGGGGATGCGGAGGGGGCGCTCGCGGAGGAGGCGGTGCCGCGCCGAAATAAAGAGTCGGGTCGGAGGGGTGTGCCGCGCCGAAATAAAGGGGTCGGGGCGGAGGGGCGCGCTGGCTTGTGAGTGGGTGGGTGGGTGGGGGGGGGCGCAATACAGGGGTCGGGGCGGAGGGGCGCGATGGCTGGTGGGTGGGGGGCTGCGGAGGGGGCGCGCAGGGCGCGCGGGGAGGGAGTGGGGGCCGTGCCGAAATAAAGGGTCGCGGGGCGGAGGGGGCGCCCTGGCTGGTAAGTGGGGGGATGCGGGGAGGTGCGCCGTGCCGAAATCAAGGGGTCGGGGCGGAGGGGCGCGCTGGCTGGTGGGTGGGGGAATGCTGAGGGGTGTGCCGTGCCGAAGGAAAGAGGTCGGGGCGAAAGGGGCGGAGGGGCGCGCTGCCTGGTGGGTGGGGGGGATGCGAAGGGGTGTGCCGTGCCGAAATCAAGGTGTCGGGGCGGAATGGTGTGCCGTGCCGAGATAAAGGGGTCGGGGGCGGAGGGGCGCGCTGGCTGGTGAGCGGGGGGATGCGGAGGGGGTGTGCCGTGCCAAAATAAAGGGGTCGCGGGGCGGAGGGGTGTGCCGTGCCAAGATAAAAAGGGGTCGGGGCGGCGGGACGCGCTGACTGGTGAGCGGGGGGGATGCGGAGCGGTGTGCCGTGCCGAAATAAAGGGGTCGGGGCGGAGGGGTGTGCCGTGCCGAAACAAAGGGGTCGGGGCGGGGGGGCGCGCTGGCTGGTGGTGGGGGGGATGCGGAAGGGGTGCGCCGTGCCGGCATAAAGGCGTCGGGGCGGAGGGGTGTGCCGTGCCGAAACAAAAGGGGTTGGGGCGGAGGGGGCGCGCGGGGGGGGAGGGGGGGCGTGCCGAAATTCAGGAGTCGGGGCGGAAGGGGTGCGCTGGCTGGTGGTGGGGGATGCACGGGGGGGGGCGTGCCGAATACAGGAGTCGGGGCGGGGGGCGCGCTGGCTGGTGGGCGGGGGGATGCGGCGGAGGGGGTGTGCCGTACCGAAATGAAGTGGTCGGGGTGGAGGGGTGTGCCGTGCCGAAATAAGAGGGTCGAGACGGAGGGACGCGCTGGCTGGCGGGCGCGCGGGGGGGGGGCGTGCCGAAATAAAAGTGTCGGGCGGAGGGGCCGCGCTGGTTGGTGGGTGGGGGCTGCGGGGGGGGGGGGGGGGGGCGTGCCGAAATAAAGGGGATGGGCGGAGGGGCGCGCTGGCTGGTGGGTGGGTGGATGCGGAGGCGGTGTGCCGTGCCGAAATAAAGGTGTCGGGGCGAAGGGGTGTGCCGTGCCGAAATAAAAGGGGTCGGGGCGGAAGGACGCGCTGGCTGGTGAGTGGGGGGGATGCGGAGGGGGCGTGCCGTGTCGAAAGAAAGGTGTCGGGGCGGAGTGGTGTGCCGTGCCGAAATAAAGGGGTCGGGGCGGAGGGGCGAGCTGGCTAGTGGGTGGGGGGGATGGGGAGGGTGTGTGCCGTGCCGAAATAAAGCGGTCGGGGCGGAGGGGTGTGCCGTGCCGAAATACAGGAGTCGGGGCGGAGGGGCGCGCTGGCTGGTGGAATGTGTGGGTGATGGAGGGGGGGCCGAGCCGAAATAAAGTGGTCGGAGCTCTAGACACCCTGTGCAAGAGAATACTCTGCCAGGCCGTCCGCGCCACCCAGGCGCCAACAGTCGCAGAACCCTTTCAGTCAGACGCGATGGTCCCCCTCCTCGATCGCCTCATGCTTGAGGCCGCCCGCCTGCTGCCCTGGCGAGTCGCCCGCCGCCGTGGACAACGCCTCCTGCGCGTCGGTATGGCAGCCGGCCACGGTGGACCCGTCCCAGGCCTCCGCCGCCGGCTGCTTCGTGGCAGCCAGCGGGCCGTCCACAGCGGCGCCAGCCATCTGAGGGACCGCCGCCATCGCTGGGACGGGCGTGGTACCTAAGGCTTCGGGTTCCGCACGGACAGTCCCCCCAGGCAGTCCCGGGTGGCCTCGACAGCCCCCCTCCCAGGTAATCCCTGCTGGCCTTAATAGCACCCTCCCCCCCCAGTCCGAGGCAGTCTCAGCACCCAGCGCCGCCTCCAGGGGCGCCACTGGGGCGCTCCGCGACGCAAGGCGAGGCCGCCCCGGACCACTCGGGGGGCCTGTCGAGGCCAGCCAGGACTACCTGGGGGGCTGTCTGCGCGAAACTGAGGGTCTGCTTGTGTACAGTATCCGTTTTGAGACAACAACGAAGAGCCAAAGAGGCTTTAGGGTTAGGTCGGGCGTGTCCCCCTACAGGAGGAGATTGGTAAAAAATGCCCCCAAATGCCCCAAAATACTACACAAATAGTCCCCAGACCACTTTTTACTATTTTTGAACATCCCCCCTGTAGAGGGACAGGCCCGACTTAATTTTAGGGGGAGCGGGTGGAGCAGGCAAAAGGAGGACGAGGAAAACCAGACAGGTGGGGAGGACGTGCGACCGTGGCTCCCTGCTCCCTCCTGCCGCCGCGATCGTCCTGCTCATCCTCCTGCCTCCTGCCTGTGACTTCACGCCGCCTCCCGCTCCTCCTCCACCGCCGCCGCCTCATCCTCAATCGATTTCCCTCCTCATCACCTTTCTCCTTCCCCTCGTTCTCCTCCTCAGTTCCTCCTCCTCCTCCTCTGGCAGACTCCTGTCCTGGCAGGAGCAGGAGAAGCAGAAGAGAGGAGGAGGAAGGAATCATGGGGGAGGACAACGACTGCCGACGACCGATGACCGACGACCAGCGACCGACGACTAGCGACCGACGACGACGACGACGACGACGACGACGACGAAGACGCGCGACGAGCGACGAGCGGCGACGACGACGACGACGACAACGACCAACGACGGACGACGACGACGACGACGACGACGACGACGACGACGACGAGGGACGAGGGACGAGGGACGACGACGAGGGACGACGTCGAGCGACGACGACGGCGATTGCAAGCGACGGCGAGCGACGACGCCGAGGAGCGACGACGAGGGACGACGTCGAGCGACGACGAATAGCAACGACGACGACGACGATCAGAGGCCAGAATCTGAAAATATCAACCGCCTGGGGACTCGGTGTCTGTCCCCAGGAGGCAGTGGATGTGAACATCTTCGGGTACCCCAAGTGCCCGAGAATATCCATACACACAACCTGTGGAGTCCTGAGGCTTCGGTCCCCCAGGAAGCCACTCGGAGACCCCAAAGCCCGAAACAAAAACACCAATAGCACCAGAGCATGCCACCCTCGAAACCTCGAAACGACGAGCGGGACTGGCCAGCCCCGGCTTCGCGCGCAACCTGCCGCGAGGAGGAGGAGGAGGAGGAGGAGGAGGCGGAGGGAGGAGGGAGGAGGGAGGAGGGAGGAGGGAGGAGGGAGGAGGGAGGAGGGAGGGGGGAGGAGGGAGGAGGGAGGAGGGAGGAAGCCGAGAACGGCAAGACACCTCGATAGTGCCCCCCCCCCTCCCCCCCCCCCCTCCCCCCCCCCCCCCGCACGCACAACAACACATGATAGAAAAAGTATGAGCAAACGGCCCCCGGACCCTTCCGAGGTCCATCCTGGCCGAGCTCTCGACTCGCGCCCAGCCGTGGCGACGACGACGAGACCCCGCAAAATCGCACCACACACACACAAACAAAAAAACTACCAAACTGGAGGCGAAGCAGGCAGACCGCGCTGGCATGGATAGCTCAGGATGGCGATTCAGGTGAACACGCACGGGGGGAACGATCCAGATACTTACACAGTAGCGACATCGATGCCCACTTGCCTTAGGTCGGGCATGTCCCTCTACAGGCGGATTTTGGACGAAAGATAAAAGACAAATGCTCAAATCGTCCCGGGACTATTTTTTGACTATTTCCGAATCTTCCTCCTCTAGAGGGACGTGCCCGACTTAACACGAGCAAGCCCAGAACCCAACTGATTGATCATCGCCAGGGCGCCCACAGCAACCCTTCGGGGAACGAAGAATTACATAAACATAACAACTCGGAGGTCCGCGCGGATTTCTCGGATCGGCGCTGGACCCCCCGCCCTGGCGCGCGGAACGCGCCGGGGGCGGCGCCGGAGGCGGCTCCGAGAATTCCGCGCGGACCTCCGATTTGTTATATGTATGGCATTATTCGTTCCCCTAATCCTACTGCCCTGAGGTCCGACGTCGCAAAAATGCATAATCTAAGAAACTCTACCGGGACTCTCTGGACCCAATCTTCTGCTGCCTTCTTCAAGCGCGGTAGATCCGCGAGATTCCTGGGGCCCGAAACCTGGCCAAAGGCCAAAGCGCCCGTTTTGGGAACATTGCGACGCCAGGTTCCCAAGGAGTATGAATGTGTGGGATGACGACGCATCGTGATCCATCATCGTCGACCGTGATCCTAAACTAGGGCGACGAGATCTATTCATATTCACTGCTCCTGGCCAGGCCCATCCTGGACCTGGGAGGGTTCTAGATCCCTCCCTGGCCAAGCCAGGAGAGCGGCCTGGCCGGAGGTCATGGGGTATGTATAGGGCTCGACGCCCTACCAGCCCTGAGTGCTTATCGCCCCAAGTGCCGAAACTTCGTCGCCGTCGCCCGTCGTCGTCGCCGTCGCCGTCGGCGTCGCCGTCGGCGTCGGCGTCGCCCAGCGCCCGCCGTCGTCAACGTCGTCGACAACGACGGGCGCCGACGTCTGAGGACGGCGGGCGACGACGTGGTCGACGACGACGTCGACGACCCCGACGACGACGACCCCGACGACGTCGACGACGACGACGACGACGACGACGACGTCGACGACGACGACGACATCGTCGTCGAAGACTCGCGACTCCCCGGCCCGCGCTCCTCCAGCAGCTGTCCGTCGCGAGCCCGCTCGCGCTCCGTGCGCTCCCGGGCCGCGCTCAGCGCAGCCTCCCGTGGGCGCCGCCCCGCCGGGGGGCGCGAACGGCGCCGACGACGACGAAGACGACGACGAAGACGACGACGAAGACGACGACGACGAAGACGGCGATGACGACGGCGGCGGCGGCTGCGGTGGCGGCGGCAACCGACGACAAGCGACGACGACGACGACGAGCGACGACGATGACGACGACGAGCGACAATGAGCGACGACGACGAACGACGACGACGATGACGACGAATAGCAACGACGTCGACGACGTCGACGACGACGACGACGACGACGACGACGGCCGCGGCGGCAACGACGAGGACAAGGGAGACGAAGAAGAAGATGGCGTGGACGCGGAACCTGGCGGCAAAGCACGGATCGTTCAGCGGGCCAGTCCGCACTTTCTAAGAGCTCCGCTGGGCGCCCTCAGCGCGACAGGGTCGTCATCTGCTTCAGCACGTCCTCAAGCTTCCCAGCTGCCTCGTCGTTGCCACTGAGAGCGCCCTTCTTAATCAAGTGTATTGCATTCTTCAGCTTGGACATCACATTCATGGCACCCATCTTGGCCTTCTGGTTCATCCGCGTGCTCCACTCGTCCATGCTGTCCATCATTTTCTGGTCCTTCTCTGGCAGCGCCTTTTTCAGGGAGTCCTTGTTGTGGAACTGCGACGTCTCGTTTTTCTGGATAGCCTTGATGTGCGCAACGTTATCGCCGAGCTTGCTCACCTCGGCCTCCAGCGTGGCAACAACGGCATCCTGCTTCTCCTTGGTCATGTTCCTGGGCAGACCCCGCACCCACTCCTTAAAGAAGTGCTCCGCAGCCCTGCTCTCGCCCACAACGCGGCCAGCGACGTGGGCTTTGGCGATGCTCACCTTCTTCTCCTTCAGCATTCTCAGGGAAGCGCCGCTCGCGCTCACTGCCAGGAGCAGGGCGGCCGCGAGCGCGCGAAGTGAGACGGGCATCTCGACGGAGGGTGTGCCGAGGTGCAGCCTGCGGCGGGCTTCGTTTCCAGACGTGCAGACTCCCAACTCTCGAGCCAAAACGGCTACGGACGGGGAGGACGAGGAGGAGGATCGGATCGGATGGAGGATATGGATTATTGGATGCGCTTGGCTTGGCTCGGGCCTCAGGAGGATTCCGGGGACCTCCACAGGTCATCGGGGGCCTTCGGAGACATCCGCTCGAGGCCTCCAGAGACCTCCAGCGAAGGGGGGGGGAAGAGGAGGATCGGGAATCGAGGCTTCGGTACATTGGTGTGCCTTCTTGTGCATTCGGGAGCACGTTCGTCGTCACGGCTGGATCCCCTTCGAGACCATGGTGGGAGCGCGCCCGCGGACAGGTGGGGCGGAGGTCGACCTCGAGGGAGGGAAATCTCCGACGCTGGGATTCTTCCAACGCGCGGGCCCCAGAGCTCGCGAGCCCTTCTCTGGGGCCAGCCTCTCATCCCAAATCGTTTCTTTATGGCACGGCAGCCCGAGACCGGCCCTCGGAGGTGGAAGAATGACACATGGACGTTTTCCGTTTGGTCATGGAGTGAAAGGGGGGGGGGTCTGGCTCTGGACCTCTGCTTATCGCGACTGTTTGGAACAGTGCTCCCATGGGGAATCCTGTGGGGAGGCGGGGATCGGGTGCGTACTCCACCTTCTTGAGACAGGCGTCGAAACAGCCAAGAGATACCCCAAGGGGGGGGGGCGGAGTGGAGGTTCGAGGGCCCGCGCCGATCGGCTAAACAATGAAAAAGAAAACGCTCACCAAACAACTTAGTCTCATTTGTTGTTGAAGAACTTGCAGGTCTTGGGCACCTCCCTGCAGGCGCTGCGAAGGGTTCCACGGCTTCGTCCTCCTGTGGGGCCACCTTCGGGCAACGGGACCGTCTTCAAGAAGCGAGGAAACGGGTCCTGGGATGGAGCTCCCTGGCCCCGTCCCGAAAAGATCACGACGGTGAAGGTCTGAGGAAAACAATGCATCAAGCGACACCCACGCCAACCCCAAGTTTACCACCTTGAAAACGTACAGGCCCACCTTGGGATATCGGTGGTCAGCGAATGAGACCGGCGTGCGGACACCACACAGCGAATCAGTCAGAAGTTATGCCTTCAACTTTTTGGGTGCACCTGCAAGCGCACCATATGGAACGCAAGTTCAGGGGTGCACCGTATAGGGTCCTATCATTGGGCGCTAGCTCATGAGGTCCAACTTAAATGGAGGGAAGGAAAAGGACTCTGTGGGGCACAGCCCTACTAGAGGGCGCAGCCTACGCTCGAGGTACGGCTTTCTGGGGCGCAGTCATTGCAAGCTCTCGTGGTGGGTCGGGAAGAAGGAGCATCACGAGCGGAGAGACAACCACAACTGCTGGGCTGGACGATTCTGGTACCCCCAGAACGCCCTCGACAAGGCGCAGCTGATAGAAACCACCCCGGTTTCCGAAAACCTCGGGCAACTGCTAAGAAACAGAAAAAAGGCCGACACCTGTCGGAATCAAACGTTGCCCCTGGGCTGGGGGGCGGAGGTGCAACGAGGAGGGGGGGACTGGCAGAAGGGGTGGAGACATCGACCTGGAACCGATGATACATCGCCGACAGATCGGCGACAAGCCCCCGATCGCAAATTCGCGCGTTCCTGGGCTGGGTCGGACTATCAAACCCCTATCGGCGATCAATGGGCGATTGGGGGTCGATGCATCACCCTTATGCCTAACTGTCCCCCCATATCGTTCCCCCTGGGAGGGAGGGAAAGGGGAAGGGGGCCCACGGCAGCGGCGGCAGGCGCGCGAGGGCACGCTGTGCACCTCGGGCGGCAGCCTTTGAAGCGCTCCTCGCGGGCGCGCCGCGCGCGCGACGGGCCGCGCGAGCGGGCCTCACAGGAAGTCGGTGGTTCAAAGATGGGGTCCTGAGGGATGGGGGCCTACGGCTGGACCTATAAGAGAAGAGCATCCACCAAGAACATGGGGCCCTCCGCACGCCAACTGCAGAGCATTCGAGGGCTCCCTCCCCCAGGATGCACAAGACCACCCAACCAGAACGAAGAGCAGAAGGGTACCCTCCCCGAGCCGACCTCGAGCTTATGCCTCGGTCCGATCGGAACGATGGGAAGGGATCCAAGGATGGATTCACATTGTTTGAGGCGCCTCGTCCTCAGGAGCCCCCCCCCCCTCATGACCTCATCTCCGCACCACCGAGGAAGGAGGCGTGCGCGGCCGCCGCGCCGCCCGCGCTTGCGCTGGGCGCGGCGGCGCCGCTCGCGGCGGCGCCGCTCGCCGCAGCGCCGGCGGTGCGCGCGGCCGCCTGGCCGCCTGCGGCGGAGCCGGCTGTGCGCGCGGCCGCCTCCGGCAGCGGCGCGGCCGCGCCCACGGGGGGCGGCCTCCATGGGCGAAGGCGACTCCTCGGCCTGACTCTCCTCCTCCTCCTCCTCGTCTCCTCCTCGTCTCCTCCTCCATTGCTTTTCCTTATAAGTCCGCCGGCCCTGTCGGCGTGTGGAAGAAACTGTTCCGTTCGACTCGTCTTCGTCGACGTCGACGTCGTCGTCGTCGTCGCTGTCGCCGTCGCCGCTGCCTCTCTTGCCCTGGGCCCGTCGCCGCCCTCCCCTTTTCCTGGGCCCTCCTCCTCAAGCGCGCCAGCGCGCCAGGGAAAACGAAATTGAACAACGTCATGATTGAGTCGAAGGGAAGCCCCTTCACTTTGATCCCTTCCCCGCCAAAGGGGGCGGGGTTCCCGGGGGGGGTCCCGAGAGGGGTCGCGGGTCAGAATACCACCCACCCACCCTGGGGGGGCCCGGGGGTCAAGAAAGTCCCAAGACGAGCCAAAAGTGACCCAAGAGGCCCCCAAGACGGTCCAAGAGGACCACGAGTCTCCCAACGATCGGTCCAAGACGTCTTTACGGCATCCAGACGGCCCAAGAGGGCTGGAAGACGCCCCAAGCGGCCTCGAAGAGCATTCCCAAGAGAGCCCAAGAGGCCAAATTCATTGAGTTTCCTTGTAAGGATTTGGGCGGTCTCGCCTTTTCAGCTTCCCGACGCTCCAAAACGGCCCAAGAAGCTCCAACGATCGCCCCAAGAGGGCTCCAAGAGCGTCCCGAAACGGGCCAAAGAGGGCCCGAAGACGGCCCAAGACGCCTGCAAGACGGCCCAAGAGAGCTCCAAGAGGGCTCCAAGAGGGGGCCCAGATGGAACCGAACGGACATTTCGAGCCCTTCGCCCAGAGAGGCTCCCAGAAGGCCCCAAGAGGCCCGCAAGAGGCCCCCAAGCGGCTCCAAGAGGCACCAAAGAGGCACCCAAGAGGCCCCAACGAAGCCCCAAGAGACTCCCAAGAAGCTCCCAAGAGGCTTCAAAGATGCTCCCAAGGGACTCCTAAAACTGCTCCCCAGAGGACTCCGAGAGAGCTCCGAAGAGACCCCAGACAGAATCCCTGAGGACTCTGACCCACGTCAGCGTCGTCGCCGTCGCCGTCGCCGTCGTCGTCGTCATCGTCGTCGTCGGGGTCGTCGTCCCCCTTCAGGGTCGGCGGCACTGGCCGTAAGGCCTTCGCAATTACGCTACCGAGGAACCCCTCGTACTTATATATATATATATGTATTATGGCTGGCGTGATGACAGCTGAAAGTGAAGCATGTGAGAATGATGTTGGTGGCCGCTGCCCCGCCGATACCACCGCGCTCAGGGACCACCCCGTGCGCACCCCCTATGGTGTGGAGAAAACACCACGCCTGCCGTGCCCTGGACGACCGTCGCAGATAGCCCGCGCTCAGGGACCATCCCGCGCGCACCCCCGGTGGTGTCGAGATTATGCCACGCCTGCTAGGGCAAGGACGACCGTCACGGATAGCGGCCGCGCTCAGGGACCACCCCGTGCGCACCCCCTATGGTGTGGAGAAAACGCCACGCCTGCCGTGCCCTGGACGACCGTCGCGGATAGCGGCCGCGCTCAGGGACCATCCCGCGCGCACCCCCGGTGGTGTCGAGATTATGCCACGCCTGCTAGGGCAAGGACGACCGTCACGGATAGCGGCCGCGCTCAGGGACCACCCCGTGCGCACCCCTTGGTGTGGAGAAAACGCCACGCCTGCCGTGCCCTGGACGACCGTCGCGGATAGCGGCCGCGCTCAGGGACCATCCCGCGCGCACCCCCGGTGGTGTCGAGATTATGCCACGCCTGCTAGGGCAAGGACGACCGTCACGGATAGCGGCCGCGCTCAGGGACCACCCCGTGCGCACCCCTATGGTGTGGAGAAAACGCCACGCCTGCCGTGCCCTGGACGACCGTCGCGGATAGCGGCCGCGCTCAGGGACCATCCCGCGCGCACCCCCGGTGGTGTCGAGATTATGCCACGCCTGCTAGGGCAAGGACGACCGTCACGGATAGCGGCCGCGCTCAGGGACCACCCCGTGCGCACCCCCATATGGTGTGGAGAAAAAAACGCCACGCCTGCCGTGCCCTGGACGACCGTCGCGGATAGCGGCCGCACTCAGGGACCATCCCGCGCGCACCCCCGGTGGTGTCGAGATTATGCCACGCCTGCTAGGGCAAGGACGACCGTCACGGATAGCGGCCGCGCTCAGGGACCACCCCGTGCGCACCCCCTATGGTGTGGAGAAAACGCCACGCCTGCCGTGCCCTGGACGACCGTCGCGGATAGCGGCCCCGCTCAGGGACCATCCAGTGCGCACCCCTGGTGGTGTCGAGATTATGCCACGCCTGCTAGGGCAAGGACGACCGTCACGGATAGCGGCCGCGCTCAGGGACCACCCCGTGCGCACCCCCTATGGTGTGGAGAAAACGCCACGCCTGCCGTGCCCTGGACGACCGTCGCGGATAGCGGCCGCGCTCAGGGACCATCCCGTGCGCACCCCTGGTGGTGTCGAGAATATGCCGCGCCTGCTAGGGCAAGGACGACCGTCACGGATAGCGGCCGCGCTCAGGGACCACCCCCTGCGTACCCCCTGTGGTGCCCAGAAAACGCCACGCCTGGCGCGTATAGGCACCGGGGTGAGGGATCACCCCGTGCGCACCCCCTATGGTGTCGAGAAAAAGGCCACGCCTGCTACACCCTGCGACATTGGCGCGTATAGACACAGGGGTGAGGGACCACCCCCTGCGCACCCCCTCTGGTGTCGAGAAAGTGCGACGCCTGCCAATCCCTGCGACATTGGCGCGGATAGAGACCGCGCTAAGGGACCACCCCCTGCGCACCACCTCTAGTGGCGAGACATTGACACGCCTGCCGTGCCCTGCGCATCCTACTAGTGTGTTTTGTGTATGGCGTGTCATGTGTATGTGTATGATGCGTGTGCGGCCGTACCTGGACGTGTGTCTCATGTGGGTGCCCAGTATGTGGTGCATACGTCTTGGGTGTATGATGCAGTGGACACGCCAGGCGTGCACTAGCGTTGTATGGTGTGTCCCAGGAATGGTGTTCCTGCTTGATTCAGGCTCGTCAAGGCGCAACAGTCAAGATGATTCGTGGCGTTGAAATTCGGAAAAAAATGTGTTTTGGCACACATCAGGCTCTTTGAACGGTTGTCTCCCGACGGGGCACTTCCCCCAGTGGAAATGAGCACTTGTAGAGACCTATGAAGTGGGAGCTTGGAAGGAGGGTTCATTCCAACACCGTTGATGAGTCTCGGGTTTGCACTGGTCTTCGTCCTCCTCCTCCTCCTCCTCCTCCTCCTCCTCCTCCTCCTCCTCCTCCTCCTCCTCCCTGTCTCCTCCTCTTCACCTCCACCTCCTCCTCCTCCTCCTCCTCCTCCTCCTCCTCCTCCTCCTCCTCCCTGTCTCCTCCTCTTCACCTCCACCTCCTCCCTCCTCCAGCTCCTCCTCCTCCTCGTCCTCCTGCTCATCATTCACTGCATCGTTGAGGTCGCCAACATCATCACCATCGACAACGTCGCCGTCGCTACCATCATGAGTCTTAAATCATGACAGTCATGATGATAACAAGCATCAGCATCATCCTCGTCATCGTCATCGTGATCATCATCATCACCATCATCACCATCATCATCACAACCACTACCATCATTATCATCATCATCATCACCACCATCAGCAACATCACCATCACCATCATCATCGTCATCATCATCAGCATCATCACTAGCATCGCTAGCGCCAGCGTCATCGTCATCACCATCATCCACAACGTAAGCCGCACCACACAAGGAATAATACCAACAGCATCATCCTCACCCTCATCCTCATGATCACCGTCATCGTGATTGGGATCGTACTCGTCGTCATCATTATCACCGTCGTCACCATCACCCCCGTCACCACCACCACCACCATCATCATCGCCATCATCGTGATCACCATCATCATTACCACCACTGCCAGAATCATCATGGTCGTGGTCACCATCATCATATCAATCATCAGAGATATGTTCATCACATGTATCACAAGCGTCAATGTCATCGTCATCGTCGTCACCATCATCCTACTCATCACCAGTCCAATCATCGATACCACCATCATCAGCATCAGTATCGTCATCTTCATCCACATCATGATGATCATCTTCGTCATAATTGTGATTAAGATCGTGATTACCCTCAGCATCATCATCGTTATCAGTATCAGCATCACCACAACCAGCCCAATCATCATCATCATCATCATCATCATCATCATGATCGTCATCATCATCATCATTATCACAATCATCATTATCATCATCGTGATCGTGAGCATCGCCATCATCCTCATCATCATCACTACCGCCACCATCATCATCATCATAAGCATCATCGGCATCATTACTATCAGCATCATTATCATCATTAGTGTCATCGAATATTGAGCGTGATCATCATAATCATCGTCATCATCAGCATCATCACCCCCAACACCAGCACCGCCACAACCCCAACCAGCATCAGCATCATCATCATCATCATCAACATCATCATCACCATCATCGTGATCGTGATCAGAAGCATCATCACCACCATCACCGTGATTGCGTGCGTACTCGTCGGCATCATCATCATCGTCATCAACATCACCATCATCGTGGTCGTCATCATCGTCGTCATCACCAGCATCGTCAACGCGATCATTATCATCACACCCGTTATCATCATCGTCACCATCATCACCATCATCGTGATTGTGGTCGTGCTCGTCGTCGTCATCGTCATCAGCATCGTCATCAGCATCATCACCACCACCACCACCATCATCATCATCACCATCACCATCACAATAATCGTCATCGTGATCATCATCACCATCATCAGCATCACCATCACCATCACCATTACCATCAGCATCATCAGATTCATCAAATTCATCGTAGTGATCGTGCGTGTCGTCATCATCATCATCATCATCATCATCATCAGCACCAGCATCACCTTCATCACCATCATCATCATGATCATCATCACTATGATCATCAAAATTATCATCATCATCATCAGCATCATCATCAGCCTCATCATCATTATGACCATCACCATCACCATCACCATCTTCACCACCGTCATCATCACGAGCATCATCATCATGGCCATGACCATGACCCTGACCATCATCATCAGCATCAACATCATAAGTATGTATCAGCATCAGCATCATCATCGTCATCATCATCACCATCACCATCACCATCACCATCAGCATCAATATCATCATCATCACCACCATCACCATCATCAGCAGGATCATCATCATCACCATCACCATCACCATCATCATCATCATCATCATCATCATCATCATCATAATCATCGCCATCATCACCATTGTTATCATCACCATCGTCATCGTCATCGTGATCGTGACCGTGACCGTATCATCCTGATCGTGATTATTATCGCCACCACCGCACCAGGGGCGCAAGCCCCCCCGCAGAGGCGCCTCGCGGGGAGCGGCCCGGGCCCCGGGGCCGTGGCCTCGGGCTCCGCCGCGAAGTGGTGCGGCCTCCTCCGCACCTCCAGCCTGTGCTGGGGAGGGAGGACGGAGAGAGAGGCCCTTCGGTGGGACTCCATTTGGGGCCTTCACAATCCCTGTTATCACGACAACTCGAGGGGAAAGATGAGAAGCGAGCCATTCGAAGTCCAGGGTCATTCGCAGGTCAATAACTAGTGGACCATCAGTCGGTTACGAATTGAGCATTCAGCAGTGGGAATTAGCGGGCCAAATTCATCAGTGAGCCACTAGCGGGGCCAACAGTGGGGCCATCACTGTAGTGGGCCCTCGGCGGAGCAGTATCGGGCCATTGGTGGGGCACTCGTGGGCCATGAGTGTGGCGAGAAAAACATCCCATTAGCAGGTGTGAAGGGTGCGCAACAAATACTCATCTTCGAGGCCACAGGCTTTCTGGGAAGGTTAGCGGGCCACACTTCTGCTGCTGAGGTAATACCTTCCCTGAGAGATGGGCCCAACAAAAGGCCCCAACATGGCCAACATTAGCTTCCACTTTCGAACCGAACAATCTGCGAATGCACTTTTGTTTGACGACCGGGTCTGCCAGGCTGATCCCGAGCTTCCGTTTGACGGATTCCCTCTCTTTGTCCAGCTGCGTGCTCCTGCGCTTTTCTGATCAATGATCAAGGCAATTCGCCTGCGAAGCGTCAAATTTTCGAGAACCTCGCAACGACGACGCCGACGACACTTCAAGAACCACCACACACCGCCCCAGACATCCGATATCTTGATTTTCTCAATGCGGGGTCACCAGAGGTCTCGAAACATTCCACGGGACCAGCTTTTCATCACGACTCGTGCTTTGACGGCCCTGGGGCCGAGCGAGGGCCCCGAGGCCGAAAACTGCAAAAAAAGCGTCCATCGCGATTTTTCAACGACGCGAGGGGCCAGAGTTCCGGACTTTCGCATGGGCCCTCAGACCCCTCCCTCGGTGTCCTGGCCAGAATTACGAAGCGAGTCCAGCTGTGGCGGAGAGGAGGCCAAAGTCAGGTCCGAGACTCCCTGAAGCCTCGATTCTCAAAACTCGATTCGACGAGAACATGACTTCTGGCCAGAATTTCGAAACGAGTCCAGCTGTGGCGGAAAGGAGGCCCAAGTCAGATCTGAAACGCCCCGAAATCTCGATGCTCGAAACTCGAACCGACGAGAACATGACGACGACATCTCCCATCGGGGATCTACTGACCCGGGTCAATGCAAACCCAGGTCAGTCAGTCCTTGCAGGATCCAGTAAAATCCTGCAGGATCCTGCGCCCTGGCCCGGGTCAATGCACCCCTGGCCCTGCAGGGTCCAGCAAGATTCGGCACTCTGGCTGGCCCCCGTTTGCTTTGACCCCCGTCTCGGGTGTTGGTAGAACTTGGTTTAGTGGAACCTGGTTTAGTGATCTGTACCGGGGGTGCCCCCCCGTCCCATTTCCACTAACAGGAACTGCCGTCACCCGAAAAACACCAGCTATGGCAAATATGGTTTAGTGATTCTGGCCAATTCGAAAGCTCCGGGGCCCTACCACTAACTGGGTCCCCTTACCCGGGGTCCTGGCCATACCCGACCGTCTCTTGAGCACCGACTCCAGCCGGCAGCCTGGGCGCCGGCCCGTCCAGCGGGGCCCGGAGCTCTGGCACGGCCGGGCCCCAGACGGGCTGCGCGGGGTACTGCTGCGGCGGCCGCGCGTACATCCGGAACCCCAGCTCGAGGGCCGCCGAGGGCGAGCCGGCCTTGGGAGAGCGCCAGCGGCTGGAGGGGAAGCGAAACGGTTTGAACGGGAACCATGACTAAGAGGCGAGCGAGGGGGGAAATGAGAAGGAGAAGGCCTTCTCAGAAGGCGGCGGGACTTCACAGAAGGCCTCGGGCCTTCTGAGAGGTGTCTGTGTCTTCGGGGAAGGCTTTGAAAACTTCATAGAAGGCCCGGGGACTTCCGAGCCTTTTAAGAAGGCCCGCCCCTTCTCACTTCCCCCCCTCGCTCGCCGCCGAAAAACGGGGACCAGAACCGAGACTGAACGCAGAAAAATGGTGTCGATCTTGGTCACCGTCCATCTTGGTCAGCGTCAATTCGTGGATCATCCTCGCGAACGGGCGACGGCCGACACGGAGCATGACCAAAATCGTCATCGACAAGATCCCGCGACATCTTGGTCACGGTCCCCCTGTTTCTGCCCTCGAAAGGAAAAAATCATACACATATGAGAAGAAATCTTGCCATGAGACGTGTTGGGGAACGGTTATCGTCAAGTTTGAGCTTCCTGCGGTGCTCCAAGGCTCTTGTAGGCCCCTGGGGCCATTGGGGGACAGGGAAATTCCATGGGGCACCAGCTCGCAGGCCTGGGAGAAGGTGTACCCCCGACATCCTCCGACTGGATTCTCTCAATCCACGTCCCCAGAGGTCCCGACCCCCCTCCCCAGGGGTGCTTCTTCGTCCAAGATTCTTTCTTGATGGCCCCCGGGCCCGAGAACGGGCCCTGGAGGCCGAAACCGACGCAAAACCGCCAGATTGAAATCATCAGATCCTCGAGGGTCTGGGACGACACGCCAGTCGGAAGAGGTGGGTAGAAGCACGAGGTAGGAGGGCGCTGGAACCAGGTCGGGCCTCCGCCCGCCCCCCGAAGAGGGAAGAGGGACGACTGCTCGTCTCTCGACTCTTGAAGTAGGAAGGCGCCTAAAGCAGATTGGGATCTGAAGTCCAAGAATACCTGCTCTCAACGACCGGCGTGTTTCCCAGACCTGCTCGCGCCGGGAACCAAAAGCACGCCACGGGAAGCTTGGCTGCCTTTCGGCAGCCGGGTGCTCTCGCGGGGGCCCGGGGCCGTCAAGGCGCGAGTCGAGATGGAACGCCGCCCCCCGGGAAGGGGTCCAGGCCCCCGGGGGGTCCACGCTGTGAGAAAAAATCGCGATGGGGTCCACGTTGGGAGAAAAAATCGCGCTGGGGTGCACCTCGGTGGTGCAAAGATGGGGTGCTGAGGGATAGGGACCCAGGGATAGGACGGGGTCCGAGGGTGGATTTAGGTTGTTTGAGGCACCTCGTCCCTATGACCCCAGCCCTCAGGACCCCATCTTTGAACCACCGCGCACCGACCCCGACCTTCGGCGAAAGGATCAGATCGCAGCGGCCAGATGTTTGCCAAGCACGGCATCTGTAGCCCCGTTTCGGGCCCCAGGACCGTCGAACATTGCCCGAGGTGAACAGCTTGTCCTCAGGGCGGGGACCAGAGGTCTAGGGGCCCGTGTCGTGAAACGATCATGACGTCGCATGTCCAAGACCATTTCGTCCCGGCCAGCCCTCGGCCCTGGATGGATGAGGCCTGCAAGGGCCGTCGATGATGCCTATTCCGTGGGCGGGGAAGAGGTCCATATCCACGGGCTCCTGGCCTGGACTCCTCGGCGCCATCCCATGCGCACAGGGTGGCTTGCTTGGCGCAGGCGCTACGCGCGGCATGCAAAAACCGGATCGGGTATCCGCGGGATCGCACCTCGTCATCATCCACACCGCGAGGGCATGGATATGGACATGTTCCCTGAGATACGACGTCACACAAAAAACTGCGAGATCGGAAAGCAAAAGTCAGCTGGAGCCCTGGACCGCTGCATACCAAAGCAGCAGTCGATGCTGGCTCGCTCCGTGAAGGCCCCGATGCCCAAAACACTGCAACGCCGCACGCTGCAACAAAAAAACGACGCTGGGATTCCAGAGTTCCCTCTTGCACGTCTTGACTATTTGCAGAACAGTATACTGAAGAGGATACTTGAAGAACGGTTTTGGCTATTCAATATCCCCTCTTCAGTGGATACTTGAAAACCCCCTCTTCAGTGGATACTCGAAGAACGTCTTTGACTATTTGCACTATCGCCCGTGACCGGCCCCGCTCGCCCGCCCCCCCGTCCCCCACCCAGCCCTGGTCACGTCACGTTTCGCGCCGGCGCCGTCTGGGAAGTAGCCACTCTCGAACAACATGTTCAGACGGCGTCAGCGCGAATCGTGACGTGACAAGCCCTTTTTCCCCTCCCCCCCTGGTCGCGCCTGAAAACGGAACGGCCTGGCAGAGGAGAAGAGGAGGCAAGAAGGAAGGAGGGTATCTACATGGATGAAGGAGAATACTCTACTTCTCCTGGTTGCCCATGGCCACCAAACGCGGCTGCATTCCATAATTCCAGAGACATCCCACATCGAATGGCCACCACACGCTGCTACTGAATAATTCCTACACTTCGTGGGAATCTCCCGACCCTGCGGGCCCGCGTGAGGATGGTTGCGGGAATTATGTCTTTCAGGAATTACAGACCATAGCAACGTCTGGTTGCTTTTAACGCTCGGAAACCTTCAGAGTTATACTTAGGAGCCGTGTTTGGGTGCAAGTGGTGCACAACACAAATCGAACAAGCCCTTTCATCCCTGTAACTATCCTCCTTCCTTTTCTCCTCATCTACTCCTCCGCCAAACCGTTTCGTCCAAGAGTCGAGGAGAGAACAACGACTTGAACGCTCAATTCAGAAACTCTCACAACGTGGCTTTCAGCCTTCGGGAGCCGTAGATACATTAGAAGATTGCAGGACGTGGTGGCCCAATCTTTGTTTCGCGAAAAGCTTCGGACCCTTAAGGGGCAGCAGTGTTTGGAAGAGGAGGGGGATCGGATGCAGGGTGCCAAGTCCATCACTGGACACAGGGGCGCGAGCGCGTCATCGTCGGGCGCACCGCCCATTACTGCCAGGTGCAATGCCATGCGTACTTCGGGTGCAACGCCCACCTCGGGCACAACGACCATTACTTCCAGGTGCAATTCCATGTGCCCTCGGGGTGCAAAATCCGCTTCGGGTACAACGCCCATCCGCGCAACGTGCACTGCCTTGCGCGCCGCGGGCGGGGACAAAAACGGGTGCAACGTTCCCAGTGAACCCAAGACGGGAACAGGAGGATCGGCCCGCCGAGGGGGCGCGGTCGTGGCAGCAGCAACAAGACACGCCGCGGCCCTTGAGAACGAGCCTCTCTACCCTCGAGGGCGGGCCCGCCTCTGCGGGCACGAAACTAAAGGTTCAATCGGCTCCCAGGAGCCGAAGCTTGGCTGGCGCATTCGGGGCTTGGAAATTGAAAGCCTACGCAACGCCTCCCTTGCACCGTCTGAAGCCAGACCCCTCTGGGCAAGGGACGCGGAGTTGGTGGAGCCCCATCCCCCCGCGTTCGTGCAACTATTCAAACGACCACACCTGGTGCACAACAGCTGACCGTTCATAACCATGAGCGAGTGGGCCTGGCTCGCAGGGGGGAGGGGCAGGTCGAAGCAAGAGTCGGGGGGCGAAGATTGCACGCTGAAGTCGCATCCGGTGTTCTCGCATCCAGTCCTGTGCAGAAAGTTTCCAAGGCCCTGGTCAACAGCGACGGCAAACCCAGCGTTTCTTTCCATGGGATTCTGCTGCGCGCAATGGCCCGCGACGCGCTCGAGCTCCTGCCGAAGCAAGGATATCTCGACTGACCTCAGGAGCGGCGGCGGTCGCTGGAGATTGACCCCGGGCAACGGGTGAACTCTGCAAACTCCTTCCGCGGGGCGATTATGCACCCGTGCTGGCAGAATTTCATACCAACTGGATACAGCCAGCTGGGGCTGGATCAAATTGAAAGCATTTTGGCCGCCAGTTCCTGCCCAGGGCCTTCAGGGCGCGCCCAGAACCTGCCGCGCCAGACTTTGTCGACCAGCGCGTTGTCCGCCCAGATCTCGAAGGGCCCCTGGGCGTAGAGCTTGCAGCAACGCAGGGCCGCCAGCCCCGTGCGCGGCACCGCTTGGACGACGTGAACCGCGCCAAAAAGTCATGTGCAAAAAAAAAATAGGGATTCGAAATCTCGCCGAAGTCAAAGGCCACTCCCCAACTGGCACGCGCGATCCGAGGGCCCGCCGAGTCCGCCGATCCGTCGAGGCACGCGCGTTAAGGTAGCCGGTGAGTGCCTTCTAGCTGCGCGCCCCCATGAAGCTGACGGACCTCTTCCAACTCGACGCCACGCACGGTTCGATTTTCATGCCATCCTCGGGCGCCCGCAACCTCGCTGAGCCTGGCAGATGGTGCGCCTCGACACCAAGAAGGTTTCATGCCAGGCTCGTCGTTCATATACTTCGCTGACGCGGCGGATCCTATCACGGCTGAAGTCGCCATTCTCCGGGCACTCGTGGAAGCGACGGAGCGGGTCTGCCGTAGCTCTACCGCATCGACGGCACCTTGCCTCGCGCGCGCAGCCTGCCGACGACGCCCGCCGCGAAAACCAGCTTCTGCCCGCGATGGCGTTCTGCGACGAGCCCGCCCCTTTGAAACGACCTTTGCGACGCATCCAGCGCAGAGCGCGCTGCACCGCCCGCGCGCGCCTTCAGCTAGCCCGCGCCCTTCGGGATGTAGACTCGCCCCTGTTCCACAGACCTGCCGTGGTCTGGGCATGATGTTCATGGCGTAGGCTCCGCATGTCCGCGTCGTTGGGTCCGGGTCCGCTCAGCCGTCTGGCTCGGTCAGCTTCCCGCCAAACTCTCCCATGTACGCGATGAGCGCCCCCGTTGGCCCCCTCGCCGATCACTGCTCGGCGCGTGCTTTGGCTGCGCACAGCCTGGCGTGGACTGCCCGCCAGCCCGCGCGCACTCGTGCTTGGAACTCCTGCCCTTCATGTGCCGTCTCACGTTGAACGGCGCTGGGCCTTGCTTGTCGAAGCTGTGCAGCAGGCTGGAAGAGCCGCACCGTCCTCCCACAGAGA